TTCTATAGGTGATTAGGTAACTAACTGTTGTTGGAAATCATCACGAACATGAAAAAGGTTCATGATATACTGGATGACGAATAGACATGAGGTATCAACGAAAGGTCGGCTAGAAAACAAGAACATAAGTGCCTCGTTTGAGGAATTTCACAATGATTTAAAGTATTGGTGCTTTAATTTTTTTGTATTTATGGTATAGCTTGAAGTTGTACCTTTAACGTTATGGTACAACTTCAGGTTGTACCTATACTATTTTATATAAATCTCTTTATGGTACAATTTAAAGTTGTACCATAAAATAAATGTACAATTTCTCTTATAATGCAACTTCAATTTGTACATTTAGCGTTATGTACAATTTAAAGTTGCACTTTAAAACACCAATGTTTTAAAACATAGTAGATGTACTTGTTTTCCTTTTCTAGTTTGTTCGGACCTAGCAAAGAGGAAAAATTATATCCATGATGATTGTTTCTTACATTCCATATCATTTAAAGTGTAGAACAAGTCTTTTATCACTTCTTTTCTATGTCTGATGTTGTTTGACATTTGCTATGTATTTAATTGGTTTCCTTTCATCTGATAATGAATGATTTCTCATAGTACATAAATCTCTCTTATACTCATAACAAATGGCACAACTACAGGCCACATGGTGCACTTAGACTCACCAATTTCTCATTATTTATGTCCTTACACGAATCGATGTGCTTTTCAAATCAAAACATCATTTTCAGTTATATATCAAATTATATAAAATTGTCATAAAAATTATAATATAAATTGGGATTCTGATCTTTCTTCCAAGTGAATAAGTATGATTTTATTTATAACTAAAAGGATACTCATAACTCATAACATCTCCAATACAAGGAAGTTAGAAAAAGCCGTCAGAAAACTCTAAGTACTAAAGAACTTCATTCGTTGGCCGGCTCACTTCATTCTTAACTGACTAGAACTCTTTTATTTACACTTTACCACATTTATAGGTGTCAAAATAGAACTCGACCCGAGTAACTCGCCCGATCAATCCGACCCGCAATTCGAACTGACTACAATTCAATGACCTGTAACCCGCCTGGTCCGTAACTCGATTGACCCGCAACCCGTTCAACCCACAACCCAATTGACCCATAACCCGATTAAATCTAAACTCGATTGACTCGCAACCCGATTAACCCGCAAACCAACTAACCTGCAACCCAATTAACCCGAACCCGCTCGATTGACCCGAATAGTTACTATATTATACAGTATATAGTCTTCAAAATAAAGTTTTTGGTTCTAAACCTAGACAAAGCCATTTCTCATTCACTAAGTGAATTTCAAAATCCAAAATTTACTTAAAATAAATTATATAATTTTAATAAAGTTTCAAAAAATAAAAACATGAAGTTGACATGAATATTAAATTATTTAACAAAGTTCAAAAAATATGAAATATAAAATTTGCACAATGTCAATATTAGTACTAAAAAAATAACAATTGAGACGATGTATAACATTAAGTATATATACATTTAATTTCTATTTAATTTCAATATTTAATAAAGTTATCAATTAAATAAAAATATAGTAAAGTATATATTTAGTAACTCGATAATTTTAAAGAAGAGGATTTTTTTTGTATTTTCAACTTTATGTGAATGGAAAGACTAATTATGTATATTATATCATTAAATAGTATAACTAATTTACTATATTGATTTAAGAATAGATCAATTTACGCTTGCAAATGAGCCAAACTTTTGTCTAGCTCAAGATCAAGCAATTTTAGCCCGAATAAACTAAACATCCTCATTTAAAACTCAACTTCAGATTGCACTTTTACAACCCAAACTAAATTAACTTCTAAGGCAGCATGCTAATATAAGCAAACCAATATAAGCAAGCCACTTAAACCATACTTAGAACTTAGAAGGATGCCCAAATTAAATAGAGCTTGTTAATGGACTTCACTATTTTTGCTTGGAGAAGTTCACTCAATTTATAACCTCCTTGAGAAGGATTCCTTCTTTACAAACGATGTGGTATAAATTACTGCTCAATTGCAATCGCCATTTACCAATGGATAGTTGAGCGGCTTGGCGGGAGAAGGAAGTGGGAAACGGGAACCGGCAAAGGAAAATGGCGAGAGAAGGACGCGGGAAATGACAAAGAGAATGGATTCCTTCATTTTTTTTATAAATGGATGCAAAGCATCCTAACCTTCATTCAAAACCAGCCGGGATTCTGAAATCCCCAAAGTATCATACAAGAGCCATAACTTCAAAGCAGAATCAGTAACCGGTACAAAATGAAACCCAACAAGCAACGCAAGTAGTGACCTCGAGAGGCAAGAAAGTCAGCACACTTATTACCCTCTCTGTAAACATGGTAGACTGCAACATCCCAGACTTTCTAAGGAGGAGTCGAAGCCGGTCTATTACCGCGGCATGCTGATGATCAGGGTTTTCCATGCCCCGGATGAGCTAGACAACACATCTCGAATCGAACTCCATGCGAACATGTATGTATCCCATGTCCCAAGCCAGTTGAAGCCCTTCCACAGCGCCTCTCAACTCTGCCCGGATGATCAAACACGAACCCAGGTTCAAAGAGAACGCTACCAGGCAGCGTCCAAGATGATCTCTGATCAAGCCTCCTGCAGCAGCAAGGCCTGACTCTTGTATGACTGAGCCGTCAGAGTTGAGAGTAACCCACTCGAGAGGAGGCAGCTTCCAAGAGATCTCCTCCTCCGTTCTGATGGGCGGATCAGGTCTATGGATTTTCCTGTCCTTGTCCAAAGCAGTCCTCACGACAGTTAACCAAGCCTGGACGCGCTGTAGAAAGCTTTCAACTGTAGTGACCTTGTTCGCAAAAACACGGTCATTCCTAGTCCTCCACGGGGACCAGCAAACGAGGCCAAAGAGCAAGCTGAACTGATCCTGCTTGAGGTAGTGTGAGAGCCAATCCTGCAGGTGGGATTCAAAAAACCGCTGGTATTCAGAAGGTTGAAGCAATTGCATCCAAGTTAACTTGGCAAAACGACAGTCTCGCAACACATGCAAGACTGTCTCGGGATGAGAAAAACACTGGGTGCACACTATCTGGTCCGTCAGGTGGCGCCGTCCTCTCTCTACATTTGTCATGAGCAGGTCTCGCACTGCAAGCCAAAGGAAATGTTTCACCCTAGCTGGTCCTCTCCACGTCCAGACCGTCCTCCAATCAAAACCGAGCCCCGAGTGCTTATGGCTGGTCACCAAGTCATAAGCTGAGCAAACACGGAATTGGCCATTCTCTTCTGGCCCTCAAATCGGCACATCTTCCCCCGCACCTGCATTCGGCGACTGAATCCCCTGCATCTACAAAACCATATTTTTCAGTGAAAAAAGTCCGAGCTTCTCAGTGTCCTACTCACCTTCCACCGTTGTGAATTCAGCAGCAGAGGCGTGGATGTTGGTCGGTGTATTCCCATCTAGAACGTGATCCAGAAGCCTGTCCCCACTGTCCACCCAGCGATCCAGCCAGAAAGACGTGATGCGACCATCTTTAATACTCATCTTCGTGCCCTCTGCCATAACTGGCCAGGCTTTCCGGATGCCCCTCCATATTATAGAGCTCCTAGCTGTGGATTTCAACACCATCTGCCCCTGCACCACTTTAAAATACTTGTCCTGGAGAATCTGCACCCACAACTCATCTGGTTTCTTAATAAACAGGCAAGCAAGTTTAGTGAGAAACGCTATATTTAGTTCATGTGCCTTCCGAAGCCCCAGGCCTCCTTCTTTCTTTGGTCTACAGACTGCCTCCCAATTCACGAGGTGCATTTTAAGATGAGATCGCGAAGATCCCCAAATGAAGTTACGTATCCTTCTGTCGATCTCGTTACAGATGGAGATCGGCAGCAACGTAGACTGCATGGACCGATGCCGCCAAGGTTACTCGACCTGCAAAAGAGAGACTCTCTGCCTTCCAACTAGCCACTTTATTGTCCATTCGGTTGAGAATATACCTGTAAGACTGCTTGGTAAACCTACCATGCAGTACAAGCACACCGAGATAGCGTCCTAGATCCTGGGTGATCGGGATATCGGCCGCTCGAGCTATGGAGCTACTCGCCTGCTTTGAGACATTCTTAGAGAAGAATATCACCGATTGTTTCTTACTCACTTGCTCCCCTGAGGTAAGATAGAACCTATCCAGGCTGTCCATGATGACCTGACTCTGTGACGTACTCGCCTCTGCAAACAGAATCAGGTCGTCAGCAAAAAAGAGATAAGAAAGAGAGGGCGCACCCGGAGCTATGACCAGCGGCTTCCACTTTCCAATCTCCACTACACTCCTTATGGTGTGACTCAGGTGCTCCATGCAAAGAGTAAACAGATACGGTGACAGAGGACATCCTTGCCGCAGCCCCCTAAACGGTCTGAAGCTCTCTGTACAACTACCATTCCATAACACTTGCATGGAAGACGAGGAAACACACGCCATGATAACTCTAATCAAATGTGTTGGGAACCCCGCTCCCTGGAGAGTTTCTTGTAGGAACAACCAGTTCACTCTATCATAGGCCTTTGCAAGGTCTATCTTCCAGTACATGGCTCCCTTCTTACCTGTCTTCAGCTTCATCGATTGCACCACTTCCTGAAGAATAATGATATTATCATTAATATGGCGTCCCGGAACAAAGCTTGACTAGGTAGGGTGCACCAGGCTACGCATCAACGGCTTAATCCTGTTGACCATACATTTAGCAAGCGTCTTATATACCACGTTACATAGTCCAATCGGCCGGAACTGGTTGATAAGCTCTGGACTCTCTTTCTTGGGTATGAGAACGAAGAGAGTTTCATTAACATCACTAATTCGGTCCGGATTTTCGAAGAGGGTACCCACGAAGCTGGAGAAGGATTCGGCCACCACCTTCCAACATTTCTGATAAAAAAAGTGGAGGATACCCATCCTTGCCCGGCTCTTTAAGGCTCCCCATACTCTTAATTGCATACCCGACCTCCTCTCTATCCATCTCTCTCTCCAAACTGCCCCACTACGTTGAGGTCAGTGCCTGGAACCCCATCGGCAATGGGAAGCAAGGTCCCATCTCTACTTGGTACAGGTCCATAAAAAAAATCCCTCGCAAGCTTCTGAAGGACGACTTCGTCGTATACCCACACGCCATCACTGCTCTTGTGCCCCTGTGTCCTGTTAAAGCATCGCCTTTTGAGTGTGGAAAGATGGTAGTACCGAGTGTTCCGATCACATTCTACGATCCACTGAGCCCTTGATTTCTGTAACCATAAGAGATTCTCCTGCCACAAAGTTTCCTCAAGGTCTTGACGCAGACTACGCTCTCTTTCCAAGGCTTCCGAATTAGCTCCCGCCTCGTTTTCCCTCTCGGCAGATAACAATAGCTTCGCTGATTTGCGCTTCTGTCTTTGAATATGGCCGAACACGGCCCAGTTCCAGTGTTGTAGCTCCTTTGTCAGTGAACTAGTCGATTGGGGAAAGTTCGCCCCCCTAGCCTAGCCCTCCAAAAGAACTAGCTCGAAATCATCATGGCCAAGCCATGCCGCCAGAAAACGAAATGGCTTTGGGCCTGGTCTAAAATCTCGACCACCCTCTCCCATCAACACAATCGGCCTGTGGTCCGAGCTGATCCTCTCAAGAGGACGAGTGATCGTGCGCGGATAATTTTTCAGCCATCTCTCGTTACACAAAGCTCTATCCAGCCATTGTTTAAGAGTACCCTGCTGCCAAGTGAACCTTGGACCAGTGAACTCCACGTCTATCAGCCCGCTGGCATCCACGCAGTTCATAAATGGACGACAACGCGCAGCCTGGTATGCCGCCCCACCACACCTGTCCATTGGCCCCAAAATGGAGTTGAAATCTCCCACCAAGGCCCACGGTACCACACAGTTATGCACTAAGCGGTAGATTTCATCCCAAAGGTCTTTCCTGTTAGCTGCGTTGGGGCTCCCATAGACAGGTGAAATTGCCACTACTGCATCCGGGTTTGATCTCTTGGAGCATGAGACATGAATGATGACTACATATTTACACATGTTTTACCCCTTATTTCATGATTGTTTAGCTTGTTTTTTATCCTAGTTTGGCCTATTTTATGCTAGGTTGTGTTCTTTTTTCACATTTCAGTTCCTAGCATGTAAAGTGAAGCCTAGGCGCAAGTTTCAAGTCAATCTGAGATCAATTGGCGACTCGGGGTGAGAAACTCGGGAATGACTTGAGAAATAATGGATTTCTAACTCATTTTATTGACAAAATCATGAAATCTTGTCATTAAAAGAAATAGGAAAAGACTACGAGCAACGGGGATCAAACGGCACTTGAATTGGAGGTCAAACGAGCTCAAACGAGATCAACGAAGATTAGGAGTGCATGCTGGAAATTGTGCACGGCCGTGTGAAATTCTACACGGCCGTGTGGGTTTCCCAGGGGGTTTGCACGGCCGTGCAAGTAGGGGGTGCGAGTTTCAGCGGGTATAAAATATGTTTTGCGATTTTTGGAGAGGAGGAGCTGGGTTTTGGATCCCAAACACCCAAGGGACGAACTAAAAAGAGAGAAGGTGATCTAGAGCCATTCTTGGAGCTATTTTGGAGGATTTCTTCACCATTGGAGCTCGATAATCAAGCTTGGAGATGGAGATTGAAGATCTAGATCAGATTTCTGCAGTCTCTCTCTTCTCTATGGAGTAACTTCCCTTCACTTAGGTTTTGAGGAACCCTAGTTCCATATGTTAGGATCTTTCTTGTATGAAGTTTTGGATGCTATATTGTGTGATTATAATCGATTGAGGCATGATTTATTGAGTCGATTGAATCCTGATCAAATTCTCTTGATTTCTGCTTTAACCTTTGATAGATTGAATCTGATTAGGTTAAGAGAGCTTCCTTGATTGATAGTAGTGAATTGGTTGTGCGAGAGTCAGTCAATTCACTGCTTTGTACTGGAATTCATTCCAGTAGTGGATATCTGTGTGAATCGCCTTAGCAGTATATCCCGATGAAGGCTAGTCGCTTGCCGGGTATTCTGTCTAAGAGGGCTTGGTCAGCTTAAGAGATTCCAAGTAATTTAGGATCTTCTGCAGTTTAATCAGCAGTAAAACAACCAAAAGGAATTACAACTTGGACCTAATTGAGGAGCTAGGAGGAATCATACCTAAGTGAGTTCCCAAACTGTAATTAGTTGTTTTACTTATTTTAGTTAGTAGAGTAGTTTAGTTAATCAATCCTTAATCTAATTTGCTAGATAATGAACTGAAACTGAGTAATAGTACATCTAGAGACCCGAGGATTCTATATTTATTACTTGCACCACTATATTGTAGTCCCTTTCATTGGTTACACTTGGCCATTGTTAGGTGTTGTGTCGTAGCGTGTCAAGTTTTTGGCGTCGTTGCCGGGACTTTCTAGATTATTAGGAAAGGCAGAAGTTTGTTATTTTAGCGTTTTTCTTTTCTTTTCCACCCTTGCTTTTCACTTGGGTGTTTTTGTTTTTGTTGGTGCAGATCTGAATCATGGATCCTCACGGCTTCTCCAATCATTGGGGGTATCCACCACCATCCGAGTGGTATTACCCCGAGGCTCCCTGGAGCAATCAAGGAGGAGAAGATATGGATTCGGGTTCCAGTACCAACCCCCTTACTACGATGAACAATCCGACCCCTGGGCATATCAAGAACAACCTCATTATCAAGAAGAATTTCTGCCACAACCAGAAGGGCCATCGGAGCTGGAGTTACCCATGGCGGCCTTCATGGGCCATTCTACAGAGCCATGCTACACTCCACAGCCAGATCCAAACTATGAATTGAGGCTTCTCATGGAGCAGTTTGCTCGAGACAGTGAGAGATCATGCTTCAGGATGGATCTTTGTACCCAGGCCTATCGTGAAACAGAGGATATCTTCCTGACCATTAAGAAGAGCCTCGATGATATTGAGAAATCTTATGCACAGCCTGCTCAAGATCACCCTTCTGCTACTATACAAGAAGACGAAGACGAAGGCTACGAAGACAGTGTGGAGCACACAGAAGTTGTCACGGAGAGCTCACGTGATGATCATGATCAGGAATGTCCTGTCGTAGCCGACCACACCTTCCCACATCCCACACTGAGCTTTGAAGCGGCGAGCATGAGTGAGGAGATGCAAGAAGATCTCATCAAAGAAATTGCTTGGCGACTTGCCCTCCAATCCGTACTGGAAGAAGAAGAGCAAGAAAGGGTACAGAAAGAAGTTGTGGAGGATGACGAAAGTGAAGCAGAAGGAGTTCTTGATCATTTCCCAGGGGTGATACCACATGTTAAGGAAGGGAGGTTGAAGAAGCAATTGGCGTCCATGCCGAGGACGAAGTTGAGGTGGAAGAAGCTTGCACCGGCCATAAGTTACATGTGATATCTCCACCAAACTTCGAGGAATTGCTTAGCAAGGACCCATTTGCAGTGTCTCTTTGCCAGACCAAGGCCACATCGACATCGGTCCCTCTTGGTGGACACGATGGTGGTCAGTCAATGCTGTCATATATGGTTTGGGGCAATGAGACGAGAGAGGAAGAAAAGAAGAGGTATCGCGGGTGGAGACTTCATCTGCATCAAGTGCACGAGCTTCCATCACCTGTCATACCACATGCTCGTGACTTAAGACTCCACCTCATTGACGAGAACCTCAACTTCAAAGAGGTTTTGGGGTGGACCGAAACTTAGGAGCCATCGCCCGGCTCACGACGTGAAAGAAGTGCTTGTTGGGAGGCAACCCAACCAGTCGGTTTTCATTTCTTTCTCTTTTCCTCCTCGGTTGAGTCAGTTTTGTTATTTGATTTTAGAGTCAATCACTCAACCTTTGTGAGATTTTGTGTGGTATTTGTGTTTCGACTACTCTCTCCTCCTGGAATGCACTACCTGCCTCGTCCACCGTCATTCACCTTTGATCTGGTAACTTCGTTCTACCCTCCTTATCTTTCCTCCATTGAGGACAATGTCGTGCTTAAGTGTGGGGGGATGTTCGATTATGTATACGGGTGAATGTTTGGCTGTTTGTGTGCTTAGGGTCTAGTCCACTGTCCAAATTTTTAAATTTGAGGGCTCCAAGTACATGTTTCCTTGCAAATTGCTTACTCAGTATGCTTTGAATTGACAGTCTTTATAGTAATATGCAGCCTAGGGAGGTAGTGTAGCACTATGGAGGATGTTGATGCATTTAAGAAGTCTCCTTTCTTCTTCATATTGTGTTGGTTGATTGTGTGAATTAGTGATCTGAGGACCCTTGAATTGTGTGGTATTGTGGACTCTCTACCTGTCATGGACTCCTGTATCATGTTTTGAAATAAAAGGTGCTCGAAAATGTGCTTTAAAATAACGTCTCCCGTGTGAAAAGGGCGAAAGTGTGTAAGGGGAGACAGGAATCCGTTCCCAATTTCCACCTACTACCTCCAGCCCCCTTACATTTCTTTCCCCAGCACGAGGCTTGAGACATCCGCTCCCGGCATGGCCGGTAAGATCCGGGCTACCTCAAAACCTTTGCTAGGTGGGAGCCCCCGTTTTCTGAAAAAAAATATGTTGGAACCCTTGAAAAAAGAGGGAAAAAAAAAGACAAACAAAAAAAAGGGTTCCAACCATCTTCAAGAAGAAAATAGAGCACCTTAAAAATGTGAGTAAATGATCTTTTGTTTTTGAGAGTCCCTTCGTCCACGATTCATTTGTCCTCTAATCACTATTTGCCATTATATCGACTCGAGACTAGCGTTCTCGCCGAAGAAGCTAGGAGATGACTTGTGCGTCGGTTGACCTCGTAAGCTGCTAAATGATCTAGAAAATCCTCTACCGACGATCGAGGGTGCATGTTTCTATAGAGGTCTGGAGAGTTGCATTGGTTTGATCCAGGTTTGCTTGGGGACAAGCAAACGGTTAAGTGTGGGGGAATTTGATGACTACATATTTACACATGTTTTACCCCTCATTCCTTGATTGTTTAGCTTGGTGTTTATCCTACTTTGGCCTATTTTATTCTAGGTTGTGTTCCTTTGTCAAATTTCAGGTCCTAGCATGTAAAGTGAAGCCTATGTGCAAGTTTCAAGTCAATCGGAGATCAATTGGCGACTCGGGGTGAGAAAATCGGGAATGACTTGAGAAATAATGGATTTCTACCTCCTTTTATTGACAAATAATCATGAAATCTTGTCATTAAAAGAAAGAGGACAAGACTACAAGCATCGGGGATCAAACGACACCTGAATCGGAGGTCAAACGAGCTCAAACAAGATCAATGAAGCTTAGGAGTGCATGCTGGAAATTGTGCACGGCCGTGTGAAATTCTGAACGGCCGTGTGGGTTTCCCAGGGGGTTTGCACTGCCAAAACCTCAATTTGCACGGCCGTGCAAGTAGGGGGTGCGAGTTTCAGCGGGTATAAAAGCTGTTTTGCGATTTTTGGAGAGGAGAAGCTGGGTTTTGGATCCCAAACACCCAAGGGACGAACTAAAGAGAGAGAGGGTGATCTAGAGCCATTCTTGGAGCTATTTTGGAGGATTTCTTCACCATTTGAGCTCGAGAATCAAGCTTGGAGATGAGATTAAAGATTTTGATCAAATTTCTGTAGTCTCTCTCTTCTCTATGGAGTAACTTCCCTTCACTTAGGTTTAGAGGAACCCTAGTTCCATATGTTAGGATCTTTCTTGTATGAAGTTTTGGAGGCTATATTGTGTGATTATAATCGATTGAGGCATGATTTATTGAGTCGATTGAATCCTGATCAAATTCTCTTGATTTCTGCTTTAACCTTTGATAGATAGAATATGATTAGGTTAAGAGAGCTTCCTTGATTGATAGTAGTGAATTGGTTGTGCGAGAGTCA